CAGCTCACAGCAGGCGAACTGCTGGCAGAGGTCTTCATTGCTTTCAAATTTTGGCGTAGAAAATGCGCTGCATAAATTGCAACAACGTGGAACAGAGCACAGGGAGAGCAGAACGGCAGGACTTGGACATGAACCCACAGACCCCAACTGCAAATTGGCCCCGCGGCTGCCTGTGCAATTAAATTTCATTTTATAAAACTGTTCTGAAAATAGTTGAAGCTGCACTGCGTGCGCAATTAGCACATCGTCCCGTACCAAAGGCAACTAGAGACACAACAAAAACACGACATAAAAGCGTCAAATGTCCTACCATCGACATCAAAGAGGCGGAGGCGTTGTAGACTGTATGTCGCCCGAGCAGGGACACATTAGGGTTGACATCCCCTACGGGTTGGCCCGGACTTTTGTGGTGCTTTGTTTGGTCTAGCTAAATTTGCATCCATGGCGAAAGCCAACAGTCGAGCACAAAAATTAGTCTCTCCGGCTTGAGTTTAAGGTAGTGCCTTCACAGAGCCACATTTTTTGGCACAGGCGAATTGAAACTGGTAGCGTGCGGCATTGAAGTGCTAGCCAACTGGGTCAAAAATCGAAATTCTGCTTGTTGTTAGCTTAAATGCGCCTTGTTATCTTCCAATTGTGAACCATTCGAGCTTGGCAGAGGTTAACTTTGGCTAATTGATGATTGCTTGGCATTCTCCTAATTTAAATGCTCGAAATATTAAACAAGTTAAATATGATTGTTAATTGCTAATTGCTATATAACTTCATTGTAAATTGCCAAATGCTATGAAACTCATTTATAAAGTTTTATATTCTTAAAAATATATATATCCTAAAAAATATCTATACCGCAATAATAAAAAAAAATAAAAAAAAGTACAACTTCTAAATACTGTTGCAGGATAAATACACGTAACTAAACAAGCTAGTTTAATGCAATTTCTTTTAAAGATATAACTCAAATAGTAATTAATATTTTTAAAATATACTTGGCGCATTTCAGTACTCGAGCTGATAGCTTTTACAATTGCAATTTTTAAGTAATTCAGATGAAAGCTAACTAGACGGAAACACTTGATGCACAAGCTCTGGAGTATTAGACAATGAAAACAAACAGCATTTGCTTTGATGATACTCCCCAAATACTAGAACTGCGCTCGAGTGTTATTATAAAAAAAAATGGCAAAAAAAAGTATAATACGCAATTGCAAAAAAAAAGTTGTGCAAGCATTCGCCTTGGCTTGAATGCGTTTCAGCTTAGCTCGAGCTGCATAAACTATGGAAAACTCAATTCAATTTCCGGCAGACAGCTGCATGCTGTTCCACTTCCAGTTGAACAGTTACATTTTCCGGCTGTCAAAGTCGCGTCGGGTCATGACATCTTTTCTCTTTACCAGCTGCATAATGGGTCATGCATACCTCTCCATATGGGTATGGGAGTGGTATATCTTTATATATAAATCTGTTTGTTCTGACTGACTGAATGGATTTTGGAGGAAGGTAATACAAAAGACCATGAACTTCATTTCAAAGTTCTTTGTCTAAATTAATTTCTGAGGCCTTTTGCGTTTGTCGGAAAATCAACGTCCCCTGTTGGAAATGGGATCAATGATTTGGTGAGTGAAATTTCGGTTTAAAATTCATATCGAAGCATCTTTATCGAAATTCATGTGAAACGTTTCGCACAATTTTTGCAAAATCCTACGCGCTTGCAAAATATGGGTCGAAAATAATTTGGGCGAAATTTTAAGTTGCGTCAACATTTTGCCAAGGGCGGAAAATGGGTGGAAAATTGTTGACTAACATTTAAAGCAATAAATTTGAATTGGCCAAGGCTGAGGAATACCAGTTTGTATAACAATATATACAAATATAGGGTTTTATGGCTATGTTCAGCATAGTTTTTCATTTAAACGAGCTGCCAGTTGTGCCTAGCTTTTAAACCAGCCGCCATTGAAGGGCTGCCACACGGGCAGCAGCTAAAGCAAACACCTCACAAATGTATGAACACACCCAAACACACACATATATATATATATATATACACACACATACACATTTGCACACTCAGCGCACACAAAACAAGCCAGCATCAACAACTCTTAACCTCAATGAGCCTCCGCAACGTGGCGTATGAGTAACGCAGCTGTTGTTGGAAAAATGTTGTAGCACAAGCTGCGGGGGCTACTTGTTGGTTCCTCAAATATTTATAAAAAGCAAAGGGCAGCCTTTTGTTGCTATTGCTGTTGCTGCAGTACAGTTTGCCAGCTACTTTGCCACTTACCCCTTTTAATGCTGCCCCTTGCAGATGCACTCAAATTTGCTGATATTTATTTGGCGCCGCAAACTTTCATTTCTGCTGCTGGCGTCGGGTCTTGTCTTGCTTGGACTCTGGACATGGGCCATACTTATTGATAGTGCAAAAACACTGCCAGCATTTACACAGCAGACATCGCAATCCGGCGAGGCCAATTATCAGCACGTTCACATCATCCAGAAGTTGATTGCCCAAGCGAATCGTGTGCTGCGCGCCGAGCGACAAAGGGACAACGCGGAGCGAACATCGCCGACACAGCGTTTGCTGGGCAACGTGCGCTTTGTGCGTCCGACACAGGCCAAGAAGGCGCCGCTGCCTCTGGCCGAGAGCTATCTGTTCGAGCAGGAACGCCTCAAGATCCTAGAGCAACAGCAGCGCCAGCGCAACGCGGGCATGGACGAGCTCAATGCCAACGCCGAGGATGATCGCATGCTCAGCTCTGCGGAGCGTCAGACCCAATACGAGCACGAATTGCAACGCATGGGCGTGCCAGCTGTCGCAGGCATTGGCCCGGATGGACCACGTGCTCCAGCAGAGCGACTGGTCCACCTGGATCTTAAAGGCGCGCCACCCAAGCTGAGCTTTCTCAAGCAACTCTTGCCTGTGCTGCGCGCCTTGGGTGCCACCGGGCTGCTTATCGAGTATGAGGATATGTTTCCCTATAGCGGTGCGCTGCAGCCACTTGCTGCTCACAATGCCTACAAGGAAGCCGAACTGAAGGTAATTTAAAAATCTTCCTTTTTATTTTTCGTCCTGCATGTTGGTGAATATAATTTAAACACTTTTTGTTATTGCGCTATTGAAAGTTCTTGACCATTTAAAAAGTTATTCCCATTAATCAACACTTTCTTTTTTGCTTTCTTTTTCACAAACCATCTTTTGGCATTTATCAACACTGAGCTTCAACTCCTTTGCAACTGTTTTCTTTTTGTTTTCCTCCAAAGGATTTTCTGGAAACTGCTTGGGTCGAGTATGGTCTGAGCGTTATGCCGCTGGTCCAAACTTTTGGGCATCTGGAGTACGCCCTGAAGTTGTCCGGATTTGAGCAGCTACGTGAGCTGCCCGAGAGCCCGCAGTCGATTTGCCCTAGTCAACCGCAGAGTCTAGCCTTGCTGGAGCAAATGCTCACCCAGGTGATTGAGCTGCATATGCGGCCCTCGGGCAATGCCACGCCCTCGACGCCGGAGCTGCCCATCAAGTTTACCCATTTGCACATTGGCTGCGATGAGGTGCAGCGCATGGGCGAGTGTTCGCTCTGTCGTCAGCGACTGCGAAGCGAACTGTTCCTTTCGCATGTGATTAGCTTGGCGCATTTTGTGCGTCGTCGCTGGCCGCAGCTGAGCGTGGTCATCTGGGATGATCAGCTGCGTGACATGACGCTGAGCGAGCTGCAGAACTCGCAGATCGGCAGCTATGTAGAGCCCATGGTGTGGGTGTATGCCAGCGATATATATCATTTTATACAGCCACAGCTGTGGGACACCTATTCGAAGGTATTTCCCAGCGCCTGGGCTGCGTCCGCTTACAAGGGCGCGTTTGGCGAGAGTCTGCTGGTGCCCCCGCTGCAGCAGCATTTGGAGAACAATATACGCTGGCTGGCGGTCATAGCTAAGGAGGGTGGGCGCTTTGCCAAGGGCTTGAGGGGCCTGGCGCTGACTGGCTGGCAGCGCTATGATCATTTTGCCGTGCTCTGTGAGCTGTTGCCGGTGGGCATGCCCAGCCTAATGACATCTTTGTCCACAGTGTCCAAGGGTTACTTTAGCACCAATCCACGTGACAATGAGCTGTTGCGCGTGCTGCGTTGCGTTTTCCAGCCGGATAGCCGGCGCTCGGGACATCCTTGGCTGGAATTACATACCAATGCACATTACAGTCAACTATTCGCTGTGTGCAGCTATCCGGGCCACCTGGTCTTCAAGTACGCGCTGCGTTTATACGACAAACTGGCCGAGGTGCGCAACTATCTGCAACAGACGCGGGAGCACAGTGCCTGGCTCTCCGACTACAATGTCAGACACAACTTTAGTTCGCCCCTGCGAGTGCAGGAGCTGACGGTGCGCACACCCCAACTAATTGAGGAGCTGCGCGCTATGGCACGCGAGTCCCAACAGCTCTTGTGGGAAGTGTACGATGAGCATACGGTAGCGGAATTTGTGGAGCAGCACATTTATCCCAGCATCAATGCGCTGCATCAGCAGCTGGCTAATGGACAAACGCTGTTGCAGAGACGCACCTGGCCGCAACGGCCGCTGCCGCTTACCATGGAGCTGCAGCAAGATATGGGGCTTGTTACCACGTTGGATCATCATCAGCAGCAGCAGCAGCAGCAGCAGCAGCAGCAGCATTAAGCATAACACTGAATGAGTTATAACTGGTTGTTAACAGTTGGGAGCACATACACATACATATTTTGTAGTCAAGGCGTTCCAAACGCCCTAAGCCCTATGGATAATAACAAATGTTATCACCGCTGCGGCATTTCTGGATAGCAATTCGTAGTTAACATCAAATGTTCATTCTGCCAATATGTCAGTTTATAAGCTCAATTAATCATACATACTCCATATTAACTTTACTAACATAAATCAAAATAAATTTTGCATATATGCTAAATATACAATGTAACGTATTTTTCAAATACGAATTTGTGCGCCATAAATGCAATGGAGGCTAAGCTTCCGGGCCAGGATTGCCAGCCTGGCGCTGCACAAAGGACTTAACTTAGTTTTGGTATTTTTTAACTGTGACATGCGTATTTTCGACAAAAAGGACGAGAAATGGCGATGCGGAAAAACATGTGTTAGCGCAAAATCGATGAATAAACGCCAAAAGTTAACGTGGCGAGGCTTACTTACGAAAGTGCTTAACAATAGTTAACAATTAATAATTATTGATTGAAATATAGCAAAAAGAATAAAACGTTGCAGTTTCTACTTCTTGTTTTCACGACGGCTGCATAATTGTACATTTTATATAATAAATATCGCGCAAAAAATGGGCATTCCAGAAACGCCGAAAACAGCAGCAACCACAACAACAACAACAACGACAGGCACAGAAGCGGCTAATGAAAGCAAAAACGCTCTGACGTTATGCACGTTTCAGGAAATTTTCAAACATGTAGAGCCGGAAGTGCAAATCGAGGCGTTCGAGGTGGGCATGCATGCGTGTATGTGTGTGTGTGTGTGTTTAAATGAAAACAATTTTTGTGTATTAATCCCTTGATAGCTAGCGCAAGGCTCTGACCGCGGCGATAACTATACGGCAGCACTGTATCGCATCTGCCTAAGTGGGAAACGCCAACAACTAGATGGCAGCACTCATAAGTGGGAGCAGAACGTTATATGCAAGGTGTTGCCAGAGAGCGTTGTCCAAAGAGAAGCCTACAAGAGCGACAAGCTTTTTCGGTTGGTTCAACTACGTTTTAATATCAAATATTATATATGTACATATGTATCTGTACATATAAATTGAAATTATTTGTTTGATACTTTGCAGCAACGAGGTGGAATTCTATACCACAATAATGCCAGAGCTGGTTAAGTTTCAGGCCAGCAAAACGGGCTTAAACGCGCCATTGTTTAATTCCATACCCAAATGCTATACAGCGAGGCATGATTTGCTCATAATGGGTAAATATGTGTACACACTAAAGTTCTTCGAATTTGAATTGAATTATTTATTTATTTCTGTAGAGGATCTGCGCGTTCGCGGCTTTGAGATGTCGGATCGACACAAGGGCCTCAGCATGGAGGAGACGCAATCGGTTTTGCTGCAGGTGGCGCAGCTGCATGCGCTCAGTTTAGCCTACAAGTTTGAGCATCCGCTGGAGTTTACAAAAATGTGCAGCACCATCAGCGAGGGCATATTCTGCACAGCTAATACCAGCTGGTACAAAAACTATTACGAACGCCTGACAAAGAACGCCATTAAAATGGTATCCGATGTGCTGCCCGCGGACTCAAAGTACATGCAAGCGATGCTTAGCTTTGCGGAAAGCTCTTCCTTCTTCGGACAGATGGTGGAGTTGGCTAGCGCCGAATCGCCCTTGTCGGCCATTTGCCATGGCGATTGTTGGGTTAATAATTTTCTGTATCGCTACGATCCGGAGGATCGACAACGCGTTTTGGAGGTGGCGCTAATTGACTTTCAGCTGGTACGCTATAGTTCCATAGCATTGGACATAGCCAATCTTCTGTACTGCTGCACCACCAAGCAAATGCGAGACGCTCAACTGAAGCCGCTGCTCAAAGTTTACACAGAGGAGCTGTACAAATGGTTGCAAGTGCTGTGCAACGTTTTGCCAGAGCAATGCAATACACTGGAAAAGTTTCAGGAACTGTAGGGCGTGAATTGTGAGCTAATAGGCGGCTAAATTAATTATATCACTTTTACAGCTTTGCTCAGGAACTGAAAACCTATGGACGATTTGCCCTTGGACTGGCTATGGACATCATACCCATAAGTACGTGCTCATCGGAGGATGCACCTGATATGTATTTGAATCGCAATGATGACCTCGATGGGGATGTAGGCGCGCCCACTTTAAATTTTCCGCCCAACGACCTGTGTCGACAGAAGATGTCCGAAATAGTGATTGACATGGTCGACAGTGACATGCTCTAGAGGGTGGCCAGAGCACAACTGGAAGCCCGATTAGATCTAGTCTATGCCACATAATTAGAGTTTTAGTTATGCTCGGTTTGCAGTATTTATTTTGAACCTGTAGCCTCTTATATAAAAGATAATTTAGGTTAATTAACAACGTTTATGCCCACAAGGTTTAGGTTAGCCTAGTTTTAAAATACTTCTCAACTCTATGTTAACTGTTTACCGTTACGTTTCTCAAGCAGCCAACTTAACAACGTTGCAATCTCTTATGATTGTAATGAAAACTTCGAAATGTGAATTGTATGCATAAAATAATCTAGGTATATTTAAACACAGACAATAGAAAACTTGTCGAGGCATACTCGTTTTTCTATAGCAATTTCTTTATACAAAGCAATAAATTACAATCGAACTTAATAGCTAAACTAACTAATAGTCCGCCTTGGCCGTCCAGGTAGCCTTGTTGCCCAGCACGCCCTTGTCGCAGCTCTCCCGCAGAAATCTAAGACCCGCCTCAATGGAGCGTTCAAGTTCAGCTTGTGACTTCGCACGCTTGGCTGTTGGCGGCCCGCTAAAACCCTCTTCGAGACAAGCAGGTGGAGGTATCGCGGTGCCCTGATGCTGGGCATGCATGGAGCTGCTTGCTGATGCTTCTCCATCATCGATATCATCACTGGCTTTTGTGTAGTTGCGGCGCTGGAATTGCTTTTCGCGTTTAGTGGAGTGATAGCTGTTGAACTCCTGTTCACTGCTGGACCACGTGGGAACTGGTGGTGGAATGCTGCTAAAGTTGATGCGCTTTGGCATCGGCCCCATTTCTGGCATGGGCGCGAATTCTGGGGCACGCACGGCACGCTGCTGTTCGTTCCACTGCTCCTGGGACATTGGCAGCCGTTCGGGCTTGTATTGCCATTCCTCTGGTGGTGGCTGCCCATCATCGGACTTTTTAGCCACACCGCTTTTGTCTCTGTCCCAGTCGCGTATATGGTCCTTGCGCAGCTCCTCGCGTTCGGCCTCCTCTGCTGCTTTTTGAGCCGCCAGTGCTTGTTCCTTTTCAGTCTTCTCGCGTTCGCGCTCTGTTTCCTCGAGTTTAGCCTCAGCCGCCTTGAGCTGTTGCTCGCGCTCATACTCCTCTTTGCTGATGAGCGGCAGACCATTGCGTGCTCTAATCCGATTTTTTGCAGCCAGCACGCGATCCGCAACGATTTTATCGCGCTCGGCACGCAATTCATCACGTCGCTTTTGCTCCGCCTCCGTGGCCTTACGCGCCTGCTCCAGCTCGCGTTGCTGCTGCTTTCGCTCGGCCTCATCCGTGGAGAAGGCATAGTAGCCCACGCCATGTGTGCGCGCCTCATCGAAGAACACATCCTGATAATGTACATCGGGCTTTTCAAAATTCTCTTGCTCCTTGCGCTCCCAGGAAACGCGCTGCTCATCATGCTTGGTCATCGTAGACATGGCCTCGCTGAAGACGCTCTCCGTGGGCCGTGGCCCATAGAAAGGCTCATCGTCTGCATTTCCGTCGCTGCTGTGATTGCTGCTGTGTGTGCCCTTGGTGTCTATCATCCAATTGGCTTTGGTTTGATCCAAGCGCTCGGGCATGCTGTCTGCCAGTTGCTTGTCCCGCCGCATTACCTCGCTTAGCTCCTTGCGTAAGCATGTACGCGTCCGACCTAGGCAATCCGTGTACTCCACTTCGTCATCGTCGTGGCCAGTGGCTGCATTTCCGCCCACGCTCTCGTTCTCGCTACTGCTGCTGCTGCTCAGCCGATCTCGTGGAGCAGACCTTGGTTGCTGTTCCTCTTCGTCGCCCTGCTGCTCCTGACGCTTGCGATTGAACATTACCAGGCAATTGTCGTCAGAGTTGAGGCTGCCGCCGCTGCGGCTCATGCGATCGTAGTATTTACTTTTTGCCTCCAGCACACGCCGTGATTTGTCCAGCTGTCCATAGTCTTCCGTTTCATACACCTTTACATCCTCGTTGCGGCTAATCTCCTTGTAACTGCGCTCCTTGCTGCTGCCACTAGATTTTGACTTTTCCTTTTCGCTGGACATTTTGTTTGGCCTGAACTCACTGGCCGTCGTCTTGGTCGCTTTTGCCAGTTTGACTTCATGCTGTTTTCGCTGCAATTCCGCTTTTAAACTAAGCAGCGATGATAAATTAACGCTGATTGCTTTGTTTGGGTCGTTCATATTCACAACAAGAAGGTAAATTGAAAGAAGAAGAGCAGAGTCAGCTGTTTTACGTGGAAAAGTGTAGATACTCGATACCAACAAGAACCAATAATACTAATCGCCAAAAGAATTTCAATTAATACAAAAAAAAAGTATTAGCTAGCGGGTCATTCTAGACGGTTACGTGCAAATACGTATGTTTCTTAACAATGAAAACACAAATAGAATGTAAAGATTGAAGTGGAAAAGCAATTTCGGTTTTTTCAAGTACTCGATAGCCGACTATCGATAGCAAAATATCGCGATTAAGAAAGAAATCCCAAAAGTGATTACAGAAAACAAGCCATATAGACAAAATAAATTGGAATGTCTGGCGCTGGCGAGGAATTTCAGGTGGTCACGCGTAAGAAATGGATGGCGCGTAAATGCCTGAGTCGCCGCAACCGCCACAAATCCGAAAGCGATTACTTAAACGATTGCCCCGATGTAAATGTGGACCACTTTCAAGCGTAATTGCCTTGGTTTATATGTTTATACGCATATACTGATAATTGTTGATGCACTTGCAGACGCCTGGAGCGACTCTGCGGGGAAATGAGCCAAAGTGATTATTTTATCTTGTCTATGGATACGCTGCAACAGCACCTGGACATGCTCAAGCGGCCACTGGAACGTATAGTCTGCCTGGGTCTTGGACCATTCACACGCACACACCAGGCGCTGCATCAGGCAGCGTTTATAATGAGCGCCCAGCGGCAACACAACATCAAGGAGGCACTCTACTATGATCCCGTGTTTCGTGAAACTGAGAAAGAGCTAATACAGCGTCTGAATGGCACTATCATAGCCGAGGACAGGGCGGGCAGGCATGAAGCTAATGTATCCACTCTTTATTATTTGCCCCACTGTCCCTACGCACTTATGCACAATCTGCTGTGGTGCAATTGGAGCAGCGAAAGCTTGGCAAACGTTTTTCTAATCTCGAATAGTTTCGAGATGCTAACACTAAACAGAACTCTATCTAAAACTAGAATTCCCAATGATCACATTGCCCGAATAACGGCCCACTGCACAGAGGCTCCTTTAGAGGATGACTACGAGCACAACAATGTATTCAATGACCTGTCATTGCACAGTTTTCCCAGCGACAAACTACCAGCAGTTGATGATGAAGTATTTTGGACACGATGCGCTCCTTTAAATGTGCACGAAGATGAATTACAAACCGAACTAAATATGGAGGCAGAAATGGCTGCATTAAGCTTAGGATCATAGCTAAACTTTTGTGTGCCACGGAATAAACGATGGTCATTTACTTGAAGGAAAAGAAATGTTTCATGTATTGGCTTTTGGATAGCATTCAAATCTATTTGTACACTAACTTAGCTTATTTTTCAAAACGTTTTGAACCGGCATACTTTATAACTTATTTTCGCCCCTTCTTAATTCATATAACTCCATTTTCTGCCGATTGTCAGAATGCGAACTAATCTCATCCGATTTACACAAGTCTTTGACATTTAACTTAACTAAGTCAAAAAAAAAAGCATGGAAAAATGTGCCTTATAGGATCATAATTTTATCCAGCTCTTTATCCTGATCCTTCTGTGCCTTGGCAGCCGCCCGCTTACGTTGTCGTGAATTTTTGCGCCGGCTTTCTCTTGTCTTTGGCTTCTTCTTGCGTGTGCGCTGCACCAAGCTTGGTTGCTCCTCAACCTTCGATTTTTTCTTGATTATTGCCTTCTTCTTAGAGCGCCGAGCGCCGCCTACCTTGACTGGAAATGAACAGGGCAACAGTTGCAGCTGTTCGTGCAGGCGACTACAAAGCTTCGGCGAAATGGGCAGATAGCTGGCGGCCTGTGTGAGAAAGTTGATGTCATTGGGCGACGTACCCGCCAGCAGATCGTACAATTTAAAGCTATTGGGTGTGGGTTCCGGCGTAGGTTGGCACAGCAAAAACTTGTCCTTATACTTTGCCGTATAACGTAGCAGATACCTGCCAGGCGTCACGCTGCGCAGCAGTTTCAAGAACTCGCGTAGCTGGCTTAGCTGCTGCGGCATGCTTATGTGATAGTATTCGTGCAGCTGCTGCTCCAAAGCACCTAGTGTTAGCGGCTCCTCCAGCAGCGGCGCCAGATCTTGCAGCGAAATGCGCGAGCAATGACCTATGTCAGTCTGGAGTAGTTTCAACTGCAGCCAGGCGCTAAGCAGCTCGTATTTGGTCATGATCTCACAGCCGCAATCTGGCTTATTCTCCAGCTTGATAAGATGACAGCCTAGCATTTGATTGGCCGCAGCATCGCGCACGGCCGCTATCGGAAGGCTGCTGTACATCAACAGAGCCGGCTCCGCCTCGGTATCCGCCTCCCCAGCACGCAGACGCCAGCTGACCAGCGCACTGTTGGACTTTGCTTCTGGCATAGGCCGCACATCCTCATCGATAGGCAACAGTTTGTAAACGGCGGGTTGGACTTTGTCATTCAGCGCTGCGTCTGGCACATCATTAGGTACCTGCACGACGCCGTCGGCTGTAAACTGCAGCCAGTTGGCTGGTGCGTATGCTGTGTAGGCCTGCGTCAGAAGGCGGCTGTTTGTGTGCCAGCCGCAATTGCGCGCAGGTAGAGGCTCCTTGAACTCAATGCACTTGTATTCGCTGTCGGGAATATCACTTATATGCAGCAGCATTTCTGTAGGCAAATCCACGTATGCGCCTGGCGTTAAAAGCATCAGCAGTGCATCCAGGGGCAACACAAACACATCCTCTTCAGTTTCCAGCAGTTGGCGCTCAAGCACATCGGCAACAGACTGTGAAGCAGGCTCATCATTTACGCCTGCATAGGCATAACGCTCCAAACGCACCCGCAATGTGCTTAGCTCCTGTTGCAGCAGGCGCACCTCTGGCCAGAGTCGCACCTGTCCCCGGCGACATATCAGCTTAATATTTTCCATGCAGGCTGCCTCCTCTTGCAGGCCTTTACATTGATGCAGTTGTGGCAGGCCTGTGTGCGTTGAGTAGCTGCTATTGGGCAGCCCATGCAGCAGATGCTGAATTCTCAGTTCGAACCATTTGCTGTAGTGCATCACCAGTGGCTTCATGGGCGCATAGAGTCGCTCCTTTTGTGCGTTGGCATAGTCGTAGATGTGCTTTTGTACTAGCTGCAGCTCCTTGCAGCGTTTGCCGTTCGTGACACGCCAAACAACAAAATCATCCTCGCTCTCGGCCAAGTTTTGCTGCCAGGCAATCAACAGACGCAGGCAGGCCGCCTGCTGTGCAGCACTTAGGGCGGAATAGCGTTCCTGCGGATTGGGAAATTCGTATGGCAACTGTTGCTTTGTGTGATCATAAACAGTGCGTCTTAAAAGCTCCTGAGTGCGTGGATCGCTTCTGGTGAATCCGCAAGCGTAGGATGTAAAGACTTGCGAAGGCCCCTGTTGTTCCTCCTTTAAAAACTCTGAATCGACGTCGTTCAGAAAGGTAAAGAGTGAGTCGTCGGCTTGCTCAATCGATTTGTTGAATACTTTGTATGACGGTTGATTGTGAAATATTGTGACACTGCCCTTATATAAATTCGTTTCCATGTTTGTGTATACTTATATGCACTTTTTCGAAGGGTTTTTACCCTTTGGTTGGTTGTTGTTTTGTGGTTCCGATTTGCGCTGTTTGTTGTTCTGTTAACTTAACATTTGCGTTAATGTTATTAACAGAACAGAAATTACTTTTGTAACTGCCATTACGCTTAAATAAGCGAATATTATGAATTATGAATTTGACTAGACAAATTGGAAAATCAAATGTTTTTCTGAGTGTAAAATATCGCTCCCCTCTCTTGGTTTCTTTTAAACAATTTCTGTCGATCATTATCGTTAAATTTAAATGTGATTTTTATGCAACATTTAACATGTTTAAATTCGTCAAATATGTGACAGTTATTTAAGTCAAAGCAGTTTCTAAAAAATCTTTTAAGCAACAGCATGTATTTTAACTATTTAATATTGTTTTTTCTGCTTGTTCTTCCAGTTCTAAAATCTGAAGCTGCTTCAGCTAATATTACGAGCTGCGACAAGGCAAAAAAGCAACCAAAACTCGTGAGCTTAAGCTTTTGACATATGCGCAATTATTATCGTTAAATTTATATACTTATAGTTAAGCTCCTGTTGTAATGTTCCCAGAAATGATCAATTCAGCAAGTCCTGCCGCAAGTCCCTGCTCAGTCAGACCAATCTAACCACCAATAATGGGGAGACGCGTAATTTGAAATCGGACAAAGTGGCTCTACATGCAGTAAGAACTTCTGCTCAACTATGGAATCGAACAAAATAAAGGATATATTTTACAGTGTATTGCGGAGTGCGTATTCAAAAAGAATGGCTATTTACTCTCCAATGGAACTGTCAATTTACCTGTTATGCAAAGGAGCCTGGAACAGCGCTATAAAAAGGATGCTGTCCTCTCAAATCTCATCGTGAAGAGTTTAAAACGCTGCGTAGACTACGGTATGTTTAAAACAAGAAACAACTGTTACCCTAGATTGAAATGTGACGACTTCGTAAGCAATCCCTGAGTCGGATAACAAAATCTTTTATATAAAAAGTAATCAATATTGATATTATTATAACCGTAACAGCTCAGAGCCGTACCCAACAATTCCAATGGCTGCATGCAAAGGACAACTGCGATTACTATCCGGCTACTTTGCTAGCCTGTATCATGGAACAGGTTTATCAGAATTGTCCGGCATCTATATGGAAAAATACGGTTGATTGTGTGGGCATGCGGGATTACTTGATTGCCTGCAATGATGTTAAAAGTGGCAGAAAGTAAACGTATGCAATTACGTCTATTCAAATAGATCAGCAAACCTAATCGTTCGTTTAATGGCTTTATACTTAAATTGATAGCATACAATTTAGTTGTCATTTGTCAGTTATTAGTCTGTATTACTCCGCACACACATTAAACTTCATGGTGGCCAAATCCGCCAAGCCGCACTCGATGACATCGCCAGCTTTAAAAGCATCGGAGCCATTTGGCGTGCCCGTCAATATCAAGTCATTTGGCTCCAATGTCATATACTTGGATACATAGGCAATAATGTCAGGCACTTTGAAAACCAAATCAGCAGTGCAGCCACTCTGCTTCAGCTCTCCATTGACCTTGAGCCACAGCGGCAGGGTATGCGGATCGTTCACAGCATCAAACGGTATTAAACGTGAAACTGGCGTCGATGTGTCGAAGCCTTTGCCCAACGTCCAGGAGCCGCCAGTGGCGCGTGCAGCAGCCAAATTGCATTGGGCAGTGAGGTCCAAAGCCAAACAGTAACCGCCAACATGTTGCATGGCCTGAGCTTTTGATACGTTCTTGCATCGCGATCCGATGACCACGCCCAGCTCCACTTCATAGGCTACCTTGGTAAATACTTTGGGCAACTAAAACGGACGACTCGTATTAATTAGCTGTAGAGTCTAAAAGAGCATAGGTCACCTACGATAATGGGACAGCCTTCACGCAGATAAGATGTTGTTGGTTTTAAAAAAACGATCGGCACCTGTGGCACCGGCACATTTTTGGCTTTGACCGCGCACCTGCGTATGGCAAACAAGTTGAATAACCGTTTCAATCAAGGCTTGCAATATCAATTACATATAGTTTAGGGCAACTCCAATAATCTTCTTGCCCTCGAACACAAAGTTGGCCGCATCCTGGTTGCGTTGAAAGGCCATGAGGTAGCGAGCGGATAGGCGCACCACTGAAAACCGTTAACAATTTGTTTAGTTTGAAAATATTTTCAGAAAAATTGTAACAAAAATATAACTGTCTAAAACTGATCATACAATGTGAATGTGAGATCGGAGATTGCGACCACTGCGGTCGACTGAATGTGAGTGAATGTTTTGCTTTTAATTAGAACAATGTTAAAAGCCACTTACTTGCGTCAATGCTGTATTTATTGGGCCTCAAGGTTATCTGGAGACGTGCCCCGCTGCCCAAAAATAGTTTATCAATAGAAATTAAATAACATAAAACTCAATTGATCAACAGAGAACTAGATCGCTTGTTCAAAAGAGTGCAGTCTAACCGTTGTACTCGATTAGCGCAAAATCAGCAGCGTTAACGCAAATTCAGCAACGTACTGTAAACGTGAAGCGAAATCAGCAACGTATCGATGTCTGTGAACTAGAATTGTTCACATTTTGGCGTGGGAATTTAACATTATTTGGTCTTATTGGTTGTTTGCCAATTCTTTTGTAACTCCTGTTGGCATCAGTTTATCAGGAAAATTGTTCACGCCTTTTGAAATGGTAAATAATATTATTGTTGCAGGAGATCGCAACCTTTAATAAATAAAATAATTTTATTATTATTGTTATTTTAATATATTATTTTTTCTTTTATCAATCAAAAGCGGTTGTTTCTCGAAGTAAAAAGTCATGAATAACAATAAATATGTTGATCATATCGATTGATAATCGAGTATATTTTAACATACGACTAACGATATCATGGCCTTATATCGATAGTTTTGTTCGATTGAGCGAACCAAATGAGCGACAATAAGTGATTCTGTGCGTTCATTCAGTTCGGGAAGTCGTTCGATCGAACATATTCCGAACGATTGGTACAACTCTAACATTTACGTGCCGTCGCTTATTAATAGTGGAGAAAAATTTATAAAAATATTTAAAATTAAGTGTATAAGTGTCACACAAATACACGTGCATTTGCGGGCAATTGCACGGTGTGATTACAATCCTATTGCTGTATAAAACCACAAAGAAGGCCAGCATATAGCGCAAAAGTCAAATGAAAAGTATAAAGAATGACTTGTCAAAGAGAATAACACGAATTTGTTGGAGGCAGTAACGCGCGGCGTGGTGAATATATATAAAGCGCGAACGAGAAAGCAATGAAAATTGTAAGTGGGTAAAAACGAGAAAGCGCTAAAGTCACCACCCTGAGAAGAGAGTTGTTGTAGGGACAACCTCTAACCAAATTTGTAATTTTCTTGCAACGCTAAATAATGCCCAATTATCAATTAATGCCAGCATACAAGTGCTAAGTTAATTCACGTATTGGTTGAATTAAGTTATTGCGAAACGATAAATCTGTGTGCTTGTGTGTGTGTGTGCGTGCACCAAACAACAGCAGCCAAAACAGCTACAGAAATTCAACAAACACAGCAGTAAAAGAAACAACAACACAATGATAAAAATGGAGACTGACAAAATAATGGACGAGACTAACTCCAATGCCCAAGCAGTAAGTACATCATTCATTCAATTATTTCAGGTGTACATTTTGTGTTCTTCATATGTGTATCAATATATCTATATATGTATATATGTACATATATGCAATGTTCAATATCAATACATACATACATCATGCTCAAGGTGTCACATATGCAGGCATATACAAACATATGTACGAATTTTGTTCGTTTGTATTTGTGTTTTATTTTCGTATACACATACGTATACAAATGTATTTGTATTTATGTACATGTATATACAAATTTTGCACTCGTGCACTCTATTAAAATTTTGTTAGCTTTTCTTCTTTTAATCAGTTCGCATTTGCTCATAATTTTGTATACCCTTTTACCATAAAATAGTTGATAATAATGATTCATTAGACAGATGCAGGTAGCATTAACTGATTTGCTATTCTATATAAACACATATATTATCGTGATCAGCAAGAGCAATCGGGTGCGATCTGACTACAAGAGCTAAATTTAAGATTTTTCGGTATTTTATAACATAAGCAAAACGATTTTAATTCGATTTTCCGCAAAATCGATAAATATCAATATGTGCCTGCGATTTGATTAAATATGTTTTTTATATCATATGAATGAGCTATTGCATTGGATAAGTAAGTTTCTCGTATAGCTCATTTAACCTTCTAAAAATAGAAGGAAAGCGGATTTTCAGCTATATAAGCTTGATTTTTGGTATATTCACACATTTCAATGCGATCAAGTTAGTTGAGAGTCAAGTTTTGAAACTTTGTGCCTTAGTACAGGGTATCTGCGCGTCAATAAATCACGAGAGTACTTTTACTTGTTTATATTCGTATATTTTGTAATTAGCAGTTAATTGGCCTTCATTTCTTTCAAGTTTTGTTTATGCACACAACTCTTATATTTTAATATATATAGGCATATTTGTTATTATTTACTTTGTATAAATATTCATATTTATTTCAATCCGTTCAATCGAAGTTGTTTGTATTGAGTTTATTGTACGTAAATATGAGGCGAAGGCGGAGTAAAGGTCAGTTGCCTCCTCAACCCCCCGTACGCTGGGAAGCAGTCAATAAATGCTTCTCCATTCATTTGCACACTTGCTGTTGGTTTTTCTGTTGCTGTTTCTGTTTCTGGGTCAAAAGTTGATTTTTGGCCAAAATGCACGCGGTCAGCAATTAAGTTACATTTGAGTCATATTTGTTATTGTTAGCCCAAAAGCTGACATCAAGGTGAGATGGCGGGCAATCTGTGCATAAGCATTTATTTTTTACCTTTATCATTAAGATTTCGCAGCGCAGTCTCTCGCGAAATAGATCCGAAACACAGTCCGCATACATCGCTATATACATATATATATATACATAAAAATATATATACAAGGCTACAAACCAGTTCGTTAACGTTTCTCTCTGGATTTTATAATCGTTGCAAAGATTATCTAAAAACATTTTAATGCGAGCAATAAACAAATTCTACATTTTTATTGGAATAAATAACAAGAGAAATGAATAACAGTGAAAGCTCTGTTGCCTTAACATCAGCCTTGCCCTCCTGTTAATAACAGAATTTCAGGATAACATAAAGTAAAAGATCTGTTAATATGCTAAATGAATGTACTACATTCTCGTATGTGTTTGTGCCTATTGATTTTTGTATATATTTTCATTTATTTAATTAGTAAACTAAATAAGAAACGGAAACTTTTATTTTGATATCGCGAACTTTTCAGTTTTTCAAGAAATTAGTTTTATTTTAAGTCAGTTTTTGCCACTCTTCAAATTTGTTTGTCCAATCCAGAAATGAGTACATAAAAATAGATTTTCCATAAATTGAATATAATAACAAAGTATGTACATACACATCAATTGGCATATAACCAGAGACGCCTTAGCTATGTTTTTCTCAATAATTGTTATAAATTCGACATGTCTTTTAAGAACACATCTAAAAACGAACAGTTCGCCCGAAGGGAGCTTTCACTGTAGTTTTATTTAGGGCAATTTGCCTTCCTCGAGAATATAATATCTTGGAAACAATTCAAGCATCAGCTCCCTGACCTACATAGCTGTGCGAAAAGTAAGGAAAACCTTTTATTTTTCTAGCTCTAAGTGGAAATTATTATTTGCACTGCCAAGTGGCTAATAAGCGTAGCCGGAGGCCATAAGTCTCAACAGTCATTACCTACACCAAAATGTTAGCCTCAAAAACGATTTAAACTTTATTTTTAATACAAACGCAAATAAACAGCTCTAACAAACAACAACAACAAATATGATATGCTATTCATTTAAGCCGCTAAAAACGTGTACAGACGCATACACACGCACACGCACACACACGGACACCTGTGTATACAAGGCTTTGAGGTAGTCAAGGTGTTAATACAATTACATATACAGTATTTTAACACTTATCATACTCACATACACACATACACGTACACGAACATACACACACATACAATTGCTAGCATGGCAGCTAACTTAATTATTAAAAATCACACAACTCTACAGCAATTGTTTCTCTCCCATCTTTCTGATAGCATTATTTATAGGCTGTTTTTTTTTATATTATTTTAAACTAATTTTAATAAAAATACAAATTAATTTCTGAAATAGAATTTTCAGAAACCCCATAAAAATGAATTATATACTCTTTTACTTTTTCAAAAAATGGATTATTTAAAAATATTCTGAAAGTATTTTACGTTATCGTTTCGGTACAATTGAATAAAAAATAATTAAAAAATAATAAAATTAAAATTTGATCAATTTTAAATTTGAAAAATTTAACGAATCAAGGCTTAAACCAAAACCTGACTTGATTACCGAACGTAATAATTCGAAACTCTTTCGAGTACATTTAGCTCAGTTTAAGACCATCTTTTCTTTTTCCTTACTTGTCATTTATATGGAATAACACAAAGTATAAACAAATTTCTTTAAATTCATTCTAGACAGGTAGGTTTTTCAAGTTCTCGCCTGAAGCTATGAATGATTTGGCCCATTCTCAAGCTTGTCTGTGCGCTTTGCCATTTTTGTGCTTTATTTTAGCCAAAAACTATACAAGTCCAAATACATAAGTAGCAATGACAAAGAGCCAAGCTTGAGCTCAACTAATTGGCTAATTGTAAGCCTCAAGTTTATTTGCTGGTCGCCAACCCGTCTGAGAGTTGCACAACTTCAACTTGGCACATAACCTGCCCTGCCATTAGTCATACCACAACCACAAACCGAGAGCTACCTACTTTGCAGCTCTTTAACGAGCTGCCCTTTGACATTGCGAGAAACAGACCCCCGACTTCAGTTATATGCGACACGTAGATTGCTTAAGCTGCAAAGAATATGTGATAATCAACTTTTCTCTTTACTTTTCTGATTCTGTTTCTTTCCAACTAAATAGTTCACAACCACAATGCTGTACGATCCGGTGCGCAAGAAAGACGCATCGCCCACATATCAGACGGAGCGGGATGTCTGCTTTCAGTACTTTACACAGTGGAGCGAGGCCGGACAGGTCGACTTTGTGGAGCAGCTGCTATCGCGCATGTGCCACTATCAGCACGGACAGATCAATGCGTTTCTCAAGCCGATGCTGCAGCGCGACTTCATCACACTGCTGCCAAGTAAGTAAACCAAGCAGAAAATAGCACCAATAGACAACAGGCAATATTACAGGAAAGCCTACACATTGACAATATGTGGGGAGGGTTCGCTTTTAGCTCGGATTATAAAGACTCGCGCCTTTGATGAATTTTTATAATATCAATGGAAGACTTTAAGAAAAGAATGGATTTCTTTTGATGTTCTACAACTTAGGTTGAGCTTAAATGAAACAAATCAAAAAGTTTTCACATATAATACTCTCCAAATATAGGTGTAGGATCATCCAAGAATGATGTCTTTGTGATAATTAATTTGAAACTTGACAAAGGCTAATCAAAAGTTAAATAAATGAAAGTTTATTCTTCAGCTTCAAGATTCTCAAGCCAAGTTTAAAATGGGTGAAAATCGATTCCAACACTTGGATCTTTATTTGATGCATTTTAAACATATTTTTAAATAGAATTGAATATCAAGATGGGTAGGTTAGTGAAAAGATAATATCCAAAATTTGTAGCACAAAACGTTCCACGGGCAATGCCGGGCAATAGGCGCTAGTATCTAAATATGGTCTGTTCTTTAAGAGGGTATTGCCCAGAAATAAACCTACTTAATTAGAATCAAGACAAATTGATTTATCCGCTTAGTTTAACTTAAAAATGTATTGTAAAGTTTTTGTCAGAGGACATCCGCGAATTTCCTTAGGAGACTGTAAATTAGGTATTCCATATTGAAATCGAAGCATTTTGCATTGGACAAGATTGTGAGTAGAGAATATATTCATCAATTTAAGATGTGCTTTGAAGGGATTTTACTTACAATTTTCTGGTTTCGTTCCGCTGGTACCCCGCCCCCATAATCCTCCACACACTTTTAAGCCTTCGTAACTCCTCACCAATCGATCTTAACTAAAACAAAATGTTAAACATAAAGAACAAGATTAGAACTAAAATTTAACGATTAAAAGCACAGGCAAACTAAAAGCAAACTGGGAAACAAATACAAAAAGTTAAGGAACAAACTTGAATGGCAAACATGAAGGTAACCGAACGAATGGAATTCCATTGCCAATCCTTGCCCCCTGTTCTGTTGCCGTGCAAATGTTCCGTGGCGCGAGCAGCGGAGGGCGGAGCTGCAGGTGCTGGTGGCGCTGCCCGCCGCTGCTGCTGCTTATGTTGTTGACTCAAAGGTCATTGCTTCCATTAAACGCGCGTTGCCGGAACAAAAAGTAAGCAAAACAAAAGCAAAAGCTGCGCGTAACAAACCCTTATACATAAAGTATTTGATTCGATGCAGAGAATGTTTATAAATTAAATCCATTTAATCTAATATTTTTATGTTATACTATATTCAAAATTGAAGCTCTCTGAAGCAAACATTCATATTGGAGTTTAACTAAAAACTAACTACCTTAAAGTGGGACATGTTTTCATTTTTCTCTAAAAGTTAGAGTTCACTGAGAAATGTTGAATGTACTCAGGACTTCCTTGGGTAATTACATACCCATTTTGTAGGCGTAGCGAGTCACAGGCTCATCCGGACTTGTTTTCTTGTTGCCTAACAAGAAGAAACGGTTTGCTTCGTTGTGTCGAATTCGAGATACCCTTGCCGTTATATGATGTATGACAATTTACAATGCAAGATTCTTATTGGACACCCAATTTGGATGTGCGTACAAAAGCTATTGTTCATAAGTAAAAATAATACAAACTAAATTGAATATAAATCAAAACATTGCGTCATTCAAATTATAGATAATAAAATAAAAAGTATAAAATAAGATATTATAAAAAATATTTTTTTTAATATTCTCTACTTGACTTTGTGTTGTATATGACACAGTTCTCCGAACCGATTAACTTTGAAACGTTTTCGAGTTGAGAGACTTGTTCGAGACACAGAGACAGAAATCTCCATCCAAGCGCTGCACATTTGATGACAAAGTTATAAGTCCCTCTGGCTAAGGGCATAACAAGTCGAAAGAGGAACAAGAATTCTCGTTAGACTTTTGCTTGTGTTTAGTCAGGATGAGCGCGTGTATTAAAATGGGAACGAGAGCGAGAAATAAGCACCGTTGTTTCCTCCATTTACATTGTAATCCATTTCAAAGGCAGCTAACCAGGCAGTCGCACACACACACACACACACACACGCACGCACACACTCTGAGGAGTGACAGACAGACAGACAGACAGATTGACTGAGGATAGGCGAGCGACATGGACCGTTAGACAACGTCGTCGAAACACAACAACAACAACAACAAAAACAACGAAGAAAACTTGAACTACATCAACGTTGCAACGTTGTTGCTGTTGTTGTTGTTGTTGTTGTTGCTGCTGTTGTTGTCGTTGTTGTCACCGTTGTCGTTGCCAAGTCACTTTGCGAGTTATGCACATTTTTAATTGTGTTTGGCAAAATGCAGCACTTCACTGCAGACCAGCAGGGCGGTCCCCACCTCTCCACTCCACTCCCCTCCACTGCGCTCCGGCTCCTATCGCCTTTCCCTTTGCTATGTTATCTTCGCCCCCTTGCGACCCATCTGTCGATAGGTCGTCGCCGTCAAGCCTCTTCATCTCCCGCTGCTAAATGCCGTTAGGTGCGTCCAAGTTGCGTCTGTAGGTGGCGCGTGGGTCTGGAGAAACTACTGCAGAGTCGCGCAATGTATGAGATATTGTTGGATATTGTTGCTTCATTAGCGAAAGATTACAATCCGCAGCTGCAATGAGTCATAGGTAGACCTTAAACTGGGTGCTACTATTTATAAGTATCTACTTATTTACCTTTATATATACATTTAATATGTACAATATGTTGTTTAGTCACTTGCTGAAGTGTGCAGAGCTTGTCAGGAAGCGCAAAGCGCAGTGAAGCTAAGCAAACTGAAAGTTGTGATGAGTCATCGAGGTTTACCTATACGTATCTCATAATGGGTTCATTCGCGCACATTAATCATCTCAAGTTGATACATTTCAAGTTTTACTTAAGCGCCATGTGAATTTAAGTTTTTCTTTTATAATAGAATACATGCTTTTTTAGCAACAGTTTTCCATATATTAACATATCGTTGGAGAGACAGAAGTTTAGAAAAAACAATTTGATTTCCATGAAAAACAACAATATTCCACCTACTTGAATACTTGAATACTCTTCCAGCTTCCTATACGGTTAGAGTTGGGATCGTTTTTTTTTTATGAAAGCTAGTTCGACTAGTTAAACTAGATTATTTAGATGGTTAATGATTCCTCCATTTAAAAACATGCAAATTCACAAATGAATTCATCTCTTTTGTCCGCTCAACAGAAAAAGGTCTGGATCATATTGCCGAGAACATATTATCGTATCTGGATGCCGAATCGCTTAAGTCCGCCGAGTTGGTGTGCAAGGAATGGCTGCGAGTCATATCCGAGGGCATGCTGTGGAAAAAGCTCATTGAGCGCAAAGTGCGCACCGATTCGCTGTGGCGCGGCCTGGCCGAGCGCCGCAATTGGATGCAGCATCTGTTTAAACCAAGACCGGGACAAATACAGCGACCGCACTCATTCCATCGCGAGCTGTTTCCCAAGATCATGAATGTGCGTACCTAAACTAAAAACTAAATAGATTAAATCAAATATTGTACATCTTTAGGATATTGACAGTATAGAGAACAACTGGCGAACCGGACGTCATATGTTGCGTCGCATCAATTGTCGCTCGGAGAACTCGAAGGGCGTATATTGTCTACAGTACGATGACGGCAAGATTGTGTCCGGCTTAAGGGATAACACCATTAAGATATGGGATCGCACGGATCTGCAGTGTGTCAAGGTGAGACGAAGGACAGGCCTAACAACCGAAATGTGCTTTTAACTAACTATCAACTGCACCCTTTTAGACACTGATGGGACACACTGGATCAGTTCTGTGCCTGCAGTATGACGATAAGGTGATTATCAGTGGCTCCAGCGATTCCACGGTGCGTGTGTGGGATGTCAACACTGGCGAAATGGTCAACACGCTTATACATCATTGCGAGGCGGTGCTACATTTGCGTTTCAACAATGGGATGATGGTGACCTGCTCGAAGGATCGCTCCATTGCGGTCTGGGACATGACCTCGCCCAGCGAGATCACGTTGCGTCGCGTCCTAGTCGGCCATCGTGCGGCAGTCAATGTGGTCGATTTTGATGAGAAGTATATTGTATCCGCCAGCGGTGATCGCACTATCAAAGTGTGGTCCACGTCGAGCTGTGAATTTGTGCGTACCCTGAATGGCCACAAACGTGGCATCGCTTGCCTGCAGTATAGGGATCGTCTAGTGGTTAGCGGAAGCTCCGACAACTCAATCAGGTCAATTAAAACTGAGCGGATTTGCACTTAAATCAAATACTTATTCCAACATTAACCCTTGGCAGGTTGTGGGACATTGAGTGTGGCGCCTGCCTACGCGTGCTGGAGGGTCATGAAGAGCTGGTGCGCTGCATCCGCTTCGATACGAAGCGCATTGTCAGTGGCGCCTATGATGGTAAAATTAAGGTATGGGATTTGGTTGCAGCGCTGGATCCACGTGCCGCCTCCAATACACTGTGCCTCAATACGCTCGTGGTGAGTCCACTTTCGACTTTTATATGACATGGATAACTAATATTCTTCTTATTTGTTAGGAGCACACTGGTCGCGTTTTTCGCCTTCAGTTCGATGAGTTTCAAATTGTGAGCAGCTCGCACGATGATACTATTTTGATATGGGACTTTCTAAATTTCACACCCAATGAGAATAAGACCGGCCGAACACCATCACGTAAGATGCAACTTTCACTTTTCCATCTCGAGTGTTAAATATTTATGTGCTGTTGATTTTGTTATTTCAGCGGCCCTTATGGAACATTAACATTTTGTTCAACGGCAATTACGGGAGCTTCAGCTGTATGCCTCAAGTGATGAGGAGGGACAAGAGGGCAACGATGACGACGGCGATGATGATGATGAATATAATTATGAGCTGGAGGATATTGATTATGATGTTGATGATCCCGATAATGCTGTTCAAGAAAATTAATGAATTATACAAAGCCAGCAATTAGCATTGAGACTCGTCCATTAAATTATGTTGAACCCAAGATATTGCGATCTCCGATTTTACTGAAATGCAACAAAAAAAAAAAAAAAACTAAATAGAAACAGAAACAAAATGCAACACACGCGTGCATAATATGAATTAATGAAGTTATTGAAGAATACAAGATAAACGAATAATAAATACAAAAAGAGCATAACAAATATTTTTGCATAAACTGGCTGTTAGGTTTGAGAAATATACGAAAAGAGAAAACATATATATATATAGTATACAATATAAACAGAATTATATATTAGTTAATTAGGCATAGAAATAATTAAGGTCAGTCTTTGTAAATCGTTGGATCTACTGTTTATGCTTGCAGCAGCGATACAAACGTTTATGTAACTGATGTTTAGCTCAAATAACTAAAACGCATTGGGCTGAGTGCGGCTTTAATGTTATTTTGATATTTGAGGCACGTTTTTTTACATTGACATGTGTTTAGGATATACAAAATGGGCAAAACTCTCAGATCGTACACAGCATAGTCTTTAGCGTAGATGTTGGTTAAAGCTTGATTGACTTTGTGAACACATATATTTTGATTTTTCAACATTACGAATTGCTTTTGTCATACTGCACATTTTGTAGTTTAATTTACATGCCTGATGTTTTAGTGTTAAAGCTGTAAAAAATTAAAGAAAGATAAATTAAAAGATTAGGCCTTAAGTAACACATAAAATAAATTGAAATGAATACTATGTATATGAAAAGACATGAAAGTCGTGCATGTTTTCACTTAGCCTGTATTTTGCAGTGTTGTTCAATACTGTTTATTAGGCAAAACTATGAAAAACTATAATATTAAGAAATATAACATGCAATAAATATACAATTCTTTAATTGAACAATGGTAGATGTTATATATATGTAGAAACTAGCTAATTTTCATGTCGTTTCTAAATATACCATTGATTGTGATCAATGCATATTTTACTATATTGCCTAACTTTAGCTTCAAAGCAATCTTATTGAATTGGTACTTCCGCGCTCTAAAATTATGTATATAATGTTTTACTGTAAGCCTAAAAAGTTGATACAAATTGAAATTTACGTAATATGTAAAACTGTTGAGTGGATACGCAGCCGCCAAAAAGGCAAAAGGAATTGCAAAATGAGCAAATTGGTAACATAGGCAATATATATGATTATAAATAATAAATTGTGTATAAATGCTATGTATATGATTTATTTATTATGAATGGAGATTGGTTTCCATTTTAAAAATGTTATATTGCAATACCCATCCAATTTGAAAGAAAGGGGACGTTAAAACTATGAATTTAAATTCAACAGTCATTTCCTCCGATAACAGATTTTGGATATTATTATCGATAGTCACACAACCAGCTGACGCTGGTAATAACATTATTCTGTTAATCAAACATTTTATGTGTTCAGCTGCTTTAACATAATTCTGTTGATTGTTTTTGTTTTTTTGTTTTTTGTCAGAAAACAATCTGATTTTGCCGGCTTTAAAGCTTTCAAATGCATGGTGTACACTACTTTACGAAGACTTTGATCGTGCCACGTGTTACTGCATTTATTGCTGCCAGTTGCATTCAGCGTACCAGCCATTTAAGAACATCTGCGGGGCGCATGGCCTCACCGCCAAAAATCGCCAAAACGACAACCGAACTTTCGGCGGACATAATAGCACAGCTTGGAAAGCCACCCAGGATGCGTGAGAATCCCGCATTCAAGAAGGTCGACAGTGAGGAGTTCCATAGCATATTTACGCCGGAACTGAAGGCTCTGGTGGCCCTTTTCAAGAAATACAACTATGAGCTGCGCATTGCAGGCGGCGCTGTGCGGGACATACTGATGAACATTAAGCCGAAGGACATTGATTTTGCCACAACCGCGACACCGGACCAGATGAAGGAAATGTTTACCAAGGAGGAGGTGCGCATGATCAACGCCAAAGGCGAGAAGCATGGCACAATCACGCCGCGCATCCACAACAAAGAGAACTTCGAAGTGACCACATTGCGCATAGATGTGCGCACAGACGGACGTCATGCGGATGTGGTGTTCACCACCGACTGGCAATTGGATGCAAATCGCCGCGACCTGACCATCAACTCCATGTTCCTAGGCTTTGACGGCACAGTCTATGATTACTTCTATGGCTACGATGATGTGCAGCAGCGTCGCGTGGTGTTTGTGGGTGATGCCGATGTGCGCATCAAGGAGGATTATTTGCGCATACTGCGCTACTTTCGCTTCTATGGACGCATATCAGCGGATGCCCAATCACACGACAAGCCCACCCTGGCTGCTATAAAGGCGAATGCAGCTGGCCTATCACGAATTAGTGGGGAGCGCATTTGGGCAGAGCTGCAGAAGATTGTCGTAGGCAACTTCGGTCTCGAGCTAATGCTGGAAATGCATAATTGTGACCTGCTGGAGCAATGTGGTCTGCCAACACAGCCAAATATAGCCGAATTTAAGCGTCTCTGCGGCGACCTGAAACGCTTTGAGCAGCCACATTATCCGATACTGTATTTGACGGCTCTGCTGCACACCGTCGAGCAGGCTATGAAGCTTCACGAGCGCCTAAAGCTGTCTGCTTACGAGCGTGATTTGGCGCTGTTTATTACGCAGCAGCGGCAGCGGGTAACTATAATAAAAACTAAATAAATGGGTTTAATGTTCACAGTATTTCATTTTCAGGTAGACTCCGATTATAATACCCTGCGCGACTATCAGAAACTGTGCCTGCAGCCGTATGCCAAACGCGATTATGTTGAGCAGCTGCTGAAATATGCCAACAAGTTGGAGCTATACAATCAACTCAAGGCCTGGCAGACGCCCAACCTTCCGATCAACGGCAACACGCTCAAGGGTTACGGCTTGGTGGGTAAACGAATGGGCCTCGTTTTATCCGAGTTGCGCCTGCTCTGGGCGGACAGCGATTTTACGCTGACATCAGAACAGCTTCTGGAGAGCCTGCCCGCCATATTGGAGCGATTGCAGTCACCGCCCGGGTCGCCCAATAAAAAGCAACGCACGCAGTAAATACTATTTCTTATTAACTTTTTTTTATGATAAAACCAAAAACTGTTGATAGAGACTAGACTTTGCTAAAGATCTGTATGGGACGCTTGAAGCCTGCTTTGCAGTGCTCTGGCATGCCCATTAGTTCCATGCTGGCAAAGCCCACCTCCGGACTAAGTAAATAGGCTGTAAACTGTTCTGGCTTGAAATGAATGGCATTGTAGTTCTCTCGTATGTTATCCTGCAAACAGAGAGAGAGAGAGAGAAATTTTAGAAGGAACACATCAGGTCCTGTTGTGGTCCACTCACCGTAAGCTTCTTGCGTCGCTTATAGGTGTCAAATGACTGGGGCTCCAGTATCAGCTTGCCTCCGGGACGAAGCTGCAGGTACATGCGTCGGAATGCCTGCTTCAAACCTGCATCACAAAAGTTCAGGTGTATCCATTTGGTGACGGATAGGCATAGGATTATGTCGTATTGTGGACGCTCTATCTCGAGCAGGACATCGTCGGCCAGCACATAATTACCATGCACAAATTTCACATTGTATGGAAACCTGCCGGCAGCATTCGCTGCCGAAACATTGCTGGCACGTTTGAGTAGGTTCACGGCCATCTGAGCCTCGTGTGTGAGAAAGCGATCTATGTCCAGCCCAACAAGACTCTTGACTTCGAATTTCTTGGCTATCTCTAAGGACAAATGACCCGAATTGCAGCCAATGTCGAGCAATTGCTTTCCGCGAAACAACTCCGGCTGCGTGGCCAGCACATCCAAGCGTATGTCATGGAAGTCCTTGTCCAGTATACGCTTCCCATAGTAGTGTCTATAGTTTCCAAACATGAACGTTTCATGTTTATTGTGTTTGGGCTTCTTGTCCAGTCCAGCTACGTTTTTATTGTCCAGCTGAATTCGCTTCTTGGGACTCTGTGCGGGTGGTCGCTGTGCCGCCAATTTTTTGTTTGTGCCCTCAGTCACATGTGGGTCCGCTCCTTGAGCGGCGCTGCTGGTCTCGAGCCCATTTTGTTTCAGCCTTTTGATCTTTTCAGCGTTGTCTTCAATCTCGACACTTGCTGAGCGCTTATAAGCAAAGTGTTCCTTTTTGTTTTCAGGTACAATCGTGTTGTTATTGTTTTCCACTTCCATATTTAAACGTTTTAAAACGTTTAAACTCCGATCACCGCAAAATAAACAAAATATTTAGCGGGATGACCGGATTCTGCTTAGAGCAGTGTTGTAAGTTACCAGAAATGTATATTTTGCACAGCTGTTCTGCGATTCTGTTAACTGTGTTTCTGTTAAATGTTATTATCTGGTGGAGTATTTCTGTTAAGTGTTAACACGATAACCGACTGTCTAATGAGTTTGCCGGCCTAACGCTCGTTTAAAAGATAGGCGGGAAAAAGAAAAACATCAATAGCAAAAGATAAATATTATCTTAAATATTAATAGATAAGTGGCTAATTTAATACAAATTTAACATAAGCGTGCTTACTCTACATTTTGCAATATGCAAATTATCAACCCCCATTTCTCACAAAAAAATTATTCAAGGCACATTCATCAATTTATAGCGGCTGGGATTATTGCATATTGATTTTATTGAGCGCGCAATGTTTCAGTGTTCCCATCCTGCTACCTTGCCTGCTGCAACTGTTCTGAGTTGTTGGCGGTTAATAGAATTCGCACAATTTGCATAACAAAGCAAGGCTAATGGAAGAATAATACATGTGCGTATTGGCAGTTCCGTTTGCTATTGTCAGAAATTTCCGTTAAACGTTTCGACGACTATTTGAAACGCGAAACCGCTAAACCGAACGAACGTGTGCCGTGCTCGTTGACCCCTTTGTGGAAGGGACAGACACCGGGAACAGCCAAATAGCTTGTATAACAAATTATGGCAATCATGTTACGAAGCATTGTTTTTGGGTGTGTGTGGACCAGCGGTCAGTTGAAGTGTTTGCAGGGGTTGAATTTGAATGAGTGACCGTCGCGTGTCAAAAATTTCCAAATACAGATTCTAAGGGTTCGGATGAGCGTAGGTGCATAGCGAATAGCTGTTTGAGTACAGCCTCTTATAAGTACGATTCTTAAAAAGTAAATGTTTTAATAATATTTGGGTGCTCCTTTGTGAGGCAATATCATGAGTCTTAACTTTGAAATAGTCTTCATTATTTGCATGTTAAATTTATGATTCAATATTCCTTCGCATTTACCCAAACAAACGCCTCGAAAATTACTCATAAAACTCTCCAAACACATAGGTCCGAAGTGCTCATTAAGCGGCAAGAGATAAATTTTAGAAAATAAATGATGAAATTAAAAAAAAAGTGTATAAAAAGAAACATGCTGCACAAGACATTTCCCGGTAAAAACCTCATACAACGTGCAAGGAATAAAATTTGAATAAAATTTCATTTCATAAGGCACGTCAGGGGGTTGGGCGTTGGACCTAGACCTGGACCATGGACCACGAATTGTGGACCAAATGTGCGCAATTGGAAACCAGTTCTTATTTTTTTTTTTTTATTATTATTTTATTTTGCCTTTTGTCGACAAAAGGATGCAACGTCTATTAGAACTTCAAATGACTTGTAGTTGTAGCTGCGCTGCAGCTTCCGCACGTCCACACAGCGCTGATGGATGGGTCACACACACACACACACATAGGGACATAGGGACATGCATCATGCGGCATATGAAATTCAAAACCCGTTTACCATTT